TTATCGTTGCTCTGAATATGGTCTTAGTTTTACTGGGATCTAATGCAGGAACAGACTTTAGAGAATTTATACTGGGACTAGGGGCTGTTTGTACGATGGTTTTATGCTAACGAAAGCTTCATTCACGACGTCTGTAATCCAAACGAACGATATACGGCTAGAGAGCAGAATAACATAATATCTCTGTTATTAAATAACATCTCTCTTGTTCACTTCTGATAATATTGCTTGCCAATTTCTGAAGACCTACCTACATAATATAACTTGTATAGACGTGCAATATCACAGATTGCGTTAATAAACCTCATTCTCTCGCGCAGCATTCGTTCTCCTAAAATTAACGGTGAGAAATGTCAGCTGCGTAGATATTACATCTAAAGTGGCCGGCATACATCGAAGCACATCGAAGTACATCGAAGTACCAGTCTGTTCTGCTAGCATCTGTGAAAAATACGACATACGCATATACGCTATTCTATGACACTATTTGTCATAGGAAGATTCTTCCTATGACAAATATTGTTGTATGTGTTGTGCGCATCATAGGAGTTTAGGAGCGCTATTATGAACGCAAGCAGTGAATTTCATCTGTAATGCGGAACGAAGCTGACTCGCTAATATTTGTCATAGGAAACATAAAGAATATTTCTATGACAAATAGTGTCATAGGAGAGCGTATATGCGCTTATAGCTAACGCGTGTAGTGCATACACTACTAGTATACTACATACAAATACAAGAAAAGATTCATATTAATTAATCACTTTATTGCATGCATAGAATTACATAAAAATAATCATACTACTACTAGATCTATATAGACCTACATGTAGATTTCATGGTTTACTTCATGTTTACTACATGTTTATTTCATTCCACGCGTGCAGTGTGGACTCAAACACCACATATGTTGAAATGTCACGTTGAAATGTCAAAAAATAAGGTTAAACTAAATTATATTGAGCACATAATATTATATTGAGCACAAATAAAATAACAAAACCAAAAGCAATCAGCGTTCGTCAATAGCGTTCGTTCGTATATGCGTGTGCCTGGACGTATGCTACTTCGCTCCTTCTCACAGGGCATTAAATAATATCGGTGTTCGGTGTTGTTCGATGATCAGTGTCAGATGAATATNGAATACACTGATCTCCATAATTATACTACAGTCTTAATACACAGACATCAATAGTGGTATAGGATATTAAAAGAAGCCCGTATGTAAGTTCCCAAGGCAACGTGTAGGACTCACACATTGGGACTGCGAACAGAGATTGGGCTCAGGCAGTGATATATCTCTGCGTTATATATACCCTACATCACTAACGTTCATTGGTTTACTAGCGGGGTTCACTGTAAAACTGCTATTCAAATAAACCCTAAGAATTGACCTTTATAGAGAGTTGTCTACTCTATACAGGAGTCTGTTAACGGAGGTTTGACTGTGCGTGGAGTATCTATAAGAGTGCGTAGGACTCTATCGACTGTGGGCAACGTTAATTAACAACCAAGGATTAAACGAACCCGGAATTATTGGAAGGCGATTAATATCGATTATCATTATAGATGGACGCGATTTCATTAGTCTCTGGTGAATGATCAGCTATCGTGCATCTGCAGGTTTCCTTAGATCCCTTTATTCTTCCTGTCACAGATTCACGGATTCTTCTCGTCTCTTCTTTTCGGGCCTATCCCCTTCCTCTTTCTTCGTTCCTCTGTCATTTAACTCTTCGTCTCTCATTTCCATCCTCCTATCACTCTCTGTCTGTCTGTCTGTCTGTCTGTCTGGCTGGCTGTCTGTCTGTCTGTCTGGCTGTCTGTCTGTCTGTCTGTCTGTCGGTCGGTCTGTCTGTCTGTCTGTCTGTCTGTATGTCAGTCTGGCTGTCTGTCTGTCTGGCTGTCTGTCTGTCTGTCTGTCTGTCTGTCTGTCTGTCTGTCTGTCTGTCTGTCTGTCTGGCTGGCTGGCTGTCTTTCTGTCCGCCCGTCCGTCCGTCCGCCTGTCTGTCTGTATGTCTGTATGTCTGTCTGTCTGTCTGTCTGTCCGCCCGTCCGTCCGTCCGCCTGTCTGTCTGTCTGTCTGTCTGTCTGTCTGTCTGTCTGTCTGTCTGTCTGTCTGTCTGTCCGCCCGTCCGTCCATCAGCAGAGCTGTGGGATGATGAAACCTCACATGCACCTAGCTAATCCAATACATTGATCCAGCGACGTCAGGTTTCCAAGAGCGGATCCCGTGAACAAGCCCAGGTTTTTGCGCCAAGACTCTTCGTCTATTCCTATTACCACCACTACCCCAATAGTATGCAAATATTTATGCAATCCTCCGAGAACGGCGTGGAGTGTTTTTGTGTTTTTTCGCATCCGCTGTCGACGGCGGTTTCACGCGCTAGGTTTTTTTATTTTTGCGTTTCGTGGCAGCCGGTCACCGACTTAAAATCGCACGAAACGCGAATCAAAATTAAATGGATAATAGCGGCGATATACGCCGTCGAGTTGTTAGTACAAGAGTCCAGGGGGAATGAGGAGGGCGTATAGCTAATAAACCCTGGCCAACTCGTTCGATTTCGAAGCGGGAGCGTTCTAAAGGGGAACTATACATGTTCGCATGTTTTTTCGGGAAAACACGCGAGGTCTTAGCAAGCTTTCCCGAAGTGCTTTTCAGATCGACTGACTATTTAAAAGGTCAATGGTGGAATGGAGTCAATTCTTTCTGACAGCGCGTTGCGAAGGACCCAGTTCAGATTAGTAACCAACGCCATATGTTGCGTGCGAACCACTAGTCTTCCTACGTTCTTCTAAGTCTTTGACACCCGAGCTGACTAATGCTGAATGTACATACATCCAAGGTTAAATCAAACTCATACATTCCAATAGGGCCTGCCGCAAGTCTGCCGCGTATCTGCGGGGTGCGGGTGGAGCGTGCGTGGAGTCCGGCTGTAGAGCCGCGGGCCCTGCTGTTATATGTGTGTGTAGTGGTGGTGGTGGTGATGGTGGTGGTGGTGGTGGTGGTGGTGGTGGTGGTGGTGGTGGTGGTGGCGGCGGCGGCGGCGGCGGTGGTGGTCTTGGCAGCGGCGGCGGTGGGTGATGTGTCTCTGGTACATCTAGCTAGAATACTGGTCAGCTGTTATGGAGTTATTATAGTGTATTTGTAGTGCTGTGAGTACACTCGTACTGTACACAATCGTGTTAATTGGTCTTCACTGTTCGCTGCGAGTACTACGCGAGTTTCACGTGTACATTGTACATGTGTACGTAGAGTTTCACATGGGGCTTCTATTGGCACTTTCACTCGGAACGTTTTTCACCGCGGTTATTTCCCAGTAGCAACCGAGTGACCCTCGATCGGTCAGATGGCCTTGCAAACCCCACTATAGTGTGAAGGTATCGGCTGTGTCAGAGACACTTCTATTGGTGAACGAAATCGCCTTCCAAAAATAGCCTTTAGTTACTGTATAAGCTGTATATTTCGCGGTGGTTTAATTTTCGCGAATTTCGCAGTGGTTTAATTTTCGCGAATTTCGCGGTGGTTTTTCTTGCCTTCCGCGCATGCGCGCAGGTGTCATGTTCCATCACTACGTACCTCGCTGGACCGCGGCGCATAACTTTCTGTCGGCGGCGCTATGTGGCGCTGGCATCGGGCTGTACTCGCTCGAGGAGTGCATCAAGGATGAACTGACGTTCCTCACCGAGCAGCTGAGCGAGGTCAGGGGGCAGTCTATCGACGTGTGCGAGCTATTCAACAAGGCGGCCTTCAACATCGTCGCTGTCGTCTGCGTTGGAAGCAGGTAGGCGGCGAACATTGATTGACACGGGTGACAAACACCAGGCAGTGATCTCTCCCGCGGTGGCTACAGCTACGTGGTCGTGTGACCTAGCCCGAGGGCAGTGAGTGAGTGAGAGTGAGAGTGAGAGTGAGAGCGAGAGTGAGGGTTAGAGTGAGAGTGAGAGTGAGAGTGAGAGTGAGAGTGAGAGTGAGAGTGAGAGTGAGAGTGGGAGTGGGAGTGAGAATGGTGAGAGTGAGTGAGAGAGAGAGGGAGAGGGAGAAAGATTAAGAGAGAGAGAGAGAAAGAGAGAGAGAGCAGAGCAGAGAGAGGAGAGAAGCGTAGAAAGAGAGCGATTTAGCCGGATGAGCCGAGAGCGTGAGGAGGTGAGAGTAGTGGCTTAACACATCTTCAGCCTAGTTATTATTTTGCTGTGTGTCTCCATTGTTTGATTTGCATCTATTGCAAACGGACTGCCACAGAGCTGTAGTCTAAACAAAATTCGTCATGCAGAGAGAGATGTGTGTGTGTTTGTGTGTGTGTGCTGTGTGTGTGTGTGTGTGTATGTGTGTGTTCTGTGTGTGTGTGTGTGTGTGTGTGTAGGGTAAAACTATCCCTCGACTCAGTGAAAATGTCGAGAAAGGGTTGCCAGCTGCCAGTCAACTGTCTGTCATATAATATATAGTGTGTAGTCAATGGTATATATATATCATTGTGTGTTCAAAGAATCGTCAATAATATATAGTGTGAGCGAGGGGAGGGTGTGGGACGCGGTGCACATTATGAAATGACCACTTATGTTAGCGTTTAATTTAAAATAGCTCCTAACCGCCAGTAATTTGACATAAAAGCTTTATTATTTACGAATTTTTACGATAATAACCATATCAGGGTTGTAGCTTGCGCCAGTTAGCAGGGACCGAATTCCGCTGCCTTATCTGAGATATGACCAGAAAGATCACACGTCCCACGTCAACGCACATAGGTTGCGGGTTGGCGTCTACGCCGAAAGAATTATGGTAGTATGCGTGATGAATTTACACTGACTGTTACGGTTATTTTTTAGATTTTCTCATGAAATCTGTCGCCAGATCAAACTTCTGTCTTTGCGACCTTCTCCCAAATACAAGACTGATGCATTCGACTCCTTCGAAACAATAATAATAATTTACAATAACAATAATAACAACTAATACACAATAATAATTACTTTAGTATAACAATAATAACAATAATAACATAAATAATCATTTCTTACAGTTACCGTTTACTGTTTGCAGGCCTCGACACTATAGCAGCAACAAGCTGAACGCCTGCTTTGAGCTATTAGGCCGAGGATTATAGGGACGGCTCCCGATCTCGCTTCGGCAGGCGAAGAGATGGTGCCAGTTACTTGAAATACCTGCGAAGAAAGTGCCGTGAAATGCTACCTCCGGTTCGATAACCTCAAGGGAGATGATCCAGGAGGTATAGAATACTGCCGTTGACACACCACACACACACACACACACACACACACACACACACACCAACACATCACACGACACACACTGCACACTCACACACACACACACACTACATCACACACACACACACACGACACACACACAACACACACACACACATACACACACACACGACACACACACAACACAACACACACACACACCACACACACCATCACACACACACACACATAGATATATTAGTAGCAGGAGGATATACTATTGCCGTGACGCCGTTCGCACGACGAAAATTATTTAGGGGAATTATAACATCGTGGAATTCGACGCTTTTCGTTTAGCTTCTCTCTCTCTCCCATTTCTCTCTCTCCGCTCTCTCATACACAGCCACACACACACACACACAACACACACACACACACACACACACACACACACACACACACACACACACCACACATATATATATTATTATATATATATATATCAGGAGCGTATACATGACAAATGACATATGAACATAATGACATTTCGTCGACTTCATACGACTCGCTGATATATCATATATATATAGTTAAAAATATATATTAATATCGTAATATATCATAGTAAATAAAGGGTAACATGTATCATGTGAATTAATAAATAGATGCCTATTATCTATTATTATTCAACTGTACTTGATAAATAACATAACATAAATAAATAAATATATATATATATACCTATATAAGTGTGGTTGTGTGTGTGTGGGGGGCCGGGGCTTGTAATGGTGTATTTGCGGTGTGGCTGTGTGATGTGTGTCGTGTGCTGTGTGTGTGTGTGGTGGTCTGTGGGTGGGTGTGTATGTGTGTGTTGTGTGGCGGGGGGGTGTGTGTGTGTGTGTGTGTGTTGGTGTGTGTGTGTGTGTGCGTGTGTGTATGTGTGTTCGTTTCCTTCTAACTCCCCTCTCTCTTTTCGGTTCTCAAAATTGACAAATAGGAATCTATGTAATCAATATTTAAGAAGTGGTATAATATTTTCATATTGTACTTCATATTTTCCATTTAATTCTCCTAAATTAAACGGGACTATATTGTCACGACTCATACACACACACACACACCACACACACACAGCACACACGCACACACACACACACACACACACACACACACACACACACACACACACACAGCGCGCGCGCGCAGGCACGCACGCACGCACGCCACGCAGCACGCACGCACGCACGCACGCCCGCACCCACGCACACACAGCACACACACACCACACAAACACACACACGTACTTATTTCATTTTTGTGTGTCATCTAGGCTATGATGCAGGATGTGGAGCAGAATCGCCTCCATTTCAACACAAGCCAAAGTGAAATGCGTCGAGTCGGACAGCTTACCTTACCTCAGCCAAAGAAACACGCGCGGACGTCTCACAGCACGAACCCGGAGCGGAGACAGTAATGTCCAATTTTTCTGTTCTATTTAGTCAGCTGTTAGTGTGTCTGTGCTTGTGTTGTGTGTGTTGGTGGAGGAGTGGGCGGGTTGTGTGTGTGTGTGTGTGCTGTGGCCGTGCGTGCGTCGCTGTGGTGTGTGTGGCTGATGTACAGTCGTGACCAGCCACGTGCAGTCGGCGTGCGTGAGCGGTGCGTGCCGCCGCCGGCGAATGCGCTCCGTGCATCGCTCTGCTGTGGTTGTGTGTGTGTGCCGAATGCTGTGTGGTCGTGCGCTGCGTGCGTGTATGTGTGTGTGTGTGTGGTGTAGTGCTGTGTGGCTATGTGTGTGCTGTGTGTGTTGGTCGTGGTGTGTGCGTGGCGTGATGGGTCGGTATGTTGTTGTGTGTGTGTGTGATGTCGTGTGTGTGTGTGTGCGAATGTGTATATGCTCATGCATGCCATGCCATTATTATATAATGCATGCATATCTATTTTATTTGCACAATAAATTACCCAGACTTGTATCGAAAGAGCATAGAAGGATATTTAAAGGCGTGGGGCAACGCAATCTCGCTCAGATGGATAGGTCAATGGCGCGACCCAACACACCCGCAGAAAACGCACGCACACGTGGTGTGCTCATAACTCCTCACACAATAACCATTACTATAACCCTAACGTTAACGTTAACTACTAAAGGCTGCACAGGGGCCTCCACATGTCTAAATCCGGCCCTGCTCACGCACTAACCATAAGTATAACAGAGTTCGGTGGCATTGTAGCGATGGCTATTTCTCATGTCCTGCGTTCGTTCTTGCAGCCAGCGACGAGCACCTAGTGCAGATGATCTTCGACTTGATGACGGGGAGCAGGAGTGCGATGACGTGGTTTGCTGTGTACGTCGCCGCGCATGCCGACGTGCAGAGGAAGATGCAGGAAGAAATCGAACGCGTACGTCATCACCCAGAGCGCGCATGCGTATACTGTCTGCCCTTCGTGGGTGTGCGCATGCGTACTGTCTGCCCCTCGCGGCAACGCGCATGAGTAGGCCTACTGTCCACTGAGCTGTATATTAATAACATTATATTTATCTTATATAGTATTATATTGTGTTACATTATATATTACATTAGATAATTGCATTAATATATAATAGATATAATAGATATAATAGATATATTGCATTAGCTTTTGTTATATACAGCTTAGCGTTACTGTCTGCCATTGTGGGTGTGCGCATGCGTACCGTCTGTCCCTCGTGGGTGTGCGCATGCGTGCTGTCTGCCCCTCGTGGGTGTGCGCATGCGGGCTGTCTGTCCCTCGTAGGTGCGCGCACGTGCAGATATTTCCTGTGTTAATTTGGTTCGGCTTTGAATGTGGTGCAAAGTCCCTGAAGGATCGTCTAGGGCACGAGATCCGAATAGATAACTAACTACCCACTGATTCGTGAATTGCGAAGCTTGTTAGTCACGTTGGCTAGCTAATTTGGCCCCTCTGGGGGGAGGTAATTGAGCATGCAGTTGCTCCAGTGGATTTTTAAGATAAAAATATAATAAAAGCTTAATAAATGGTAATAACTTGAAATTAACTGTAAATTATCATGTATAGTCATTCGTAAAACACTCCTGCCACGTCCACCCCTTGCCACACTATGCATATTAACCGGGCCCTGCGCTCATTCTCCCTCATCATCACTCAGTTAAATCACGAAATCTTCCCAGTATGAATTTGCTCAGTGTATACGACCTTGTAACTATTGACATATACTCCTGCTGGTCGTAGGTTACGCTGGTGAATAACTATCAACATTCGCGTTTGTTGACAGGTCGTGGGTCACGACCGGCGCGTATCTCTCGAGGACCGGCCACGCATGCCGTACACGATGGCCGTCATTAACGAGTCGCTGCGGTTAGGAACACCGACTCCGTTCTCTCTGCCGCACGCACCGATTAAAGACAGCACATTCCGAGGCTTCCACCTACCCAAGACCTGCACTGTCGTCGCTAACATATGGTCCGTGCACCACGACGAGAAAGAATGGCCGAACCCGGAGGTGTTCAATCCGGATCGATGGCTGGATGCCGACGGACAACTCATTCAGCATAAGGCGTTCATGCCCTACTCTGTCGGTAAGACTCGTATAGGGCCGTGAACACGGAGTGCTAATGAGAAGATACAGCCTGCGGTGTCTGTTGTCAGAAACAACGTATAAAATAGTTACTGTGCAACACGCGTCTAAACCTTTGAAGTGAAGTGTCGTGAAAATGACATTTTAGACTTAAGATAGTCATAATTATTCATGTTTCTGACAACAGGCGTTCCTGCCCCGCTCCACTCCTCTCCGTTGCAGGTACAGTGAGGAGGGAATAAGCGTGTACAAGGAGAGGAGTGTAGAGGAAGTGGGGCAGGAACTAAGCACAAGAATAATAACCTTATTGTAATCCATTATTCTTTTTACGCTTTGCATCATCATTATTATCACCACTGCGATTAATCATTAATCGAAAACGGAACATGAATAAACACAGTGATTACTTTATCATATATATATATATATATATATTATAATAATAATAATATTATTATTATTAATCTGTTTTAATTGTTTACCGTGTACCATCTTTGTTATGGCAGTTTTCATTACCGGCACTGCACGAGTGTTGGGTATACATGGTAAAGTGTGTTAGCTCGACTCATGTAGATATCTTTAATACAGGTCGCAGGAAGTGCGTAGCCCATTGGCTAGCTGACGCACAGAACTTCATATTTCTTACCAACATCCTCCAGAACTTCACCTTAGGGACATCTTCTAGCGGGGTAGAGGAGCCGAAGCTGCTCGCTGGTAGTCCGCTTCGTGAACCAACCTCTGCATCGATTACCGTGGGAACCAGAGCGTATTAAGCTAGGCAGCGAAGGCGTAGGCACCGTCCATATCTCAATCACGACGATACTTGTATAAGTTGGCACGCACCCGCACATTACTATTCTCAAAGACAGTCAACCCTGTATGTAACGTGTGCGTTTTACAGTATCTGAACACCGTAGTCTAAACTATAGCTTGAGGATGAGTACTTAATTAATCATTAATTAATTAAAAAGTTAGATAATTCCTTATTTCGCAAAATGAATAGACTATGTTTGATGCTTTTTCACATCTTTTTTAATATATAGACCATATATAAAAAAACGTAAAAAATAGAAACATTATAAGTAGGCAATAAATAGGTGAACTAATAGTTTTCGTTCCCTTTCGTATAATATTATGATGATTGGTGCTTTTAGATATCGAGGCATATCAGTGTTGGTTGTGAATTTTACGGCTTTTGAAGTTAATTATTGTATTTGATGCTTGTGTTTTATAGTATTTACAGGCAGTGTTTTATAGTATTTACAGGCACATAGTGTAAGCAGTAGGAGTTGTGAAAGTGTTGTTATATAAAATATAAATGAGTACGGTACAAGCATAAAGCGGACAAGAGAATGAATATCATTAGGATATCATGAAGGTTAATTATGGTAAAAGTTTATGGAAACGCCATCGAGCAAGTGTGCGCAGTAAATTGCCGGTACTATAGATCGTAACACTGTTGTCACAGCGAATTCGTGGTAAAAGTTTGTTTTTGTGAAGCTTTGTCAAATCCCATAAATCCCAACAGCGTATATAATACCGTTTTCTTATTGGACGATTATTTGTGGACAGTATCGATACATTTGCCGTTATGTGGATACGGGATCGACAGTGTACGCGCACTTGCATGACAAAAAGGCGCAAAGAAGTTATGCGATAATAATGTGATATAACGTTATTTATAAAACCAGCTTCTCAAAACATATTAGTATCACACGCACTAGTGCATTAGTATCGCAAAAACTAGAATTATATGGCATTTCAATAGAAAAACTAGAGCACTCGGAGAGCACAGACCTCCGCCAAGGCAGCTCAATTCTCTCACTGTAAAAATTTTTATTAATTAATTAATTAATTAATTAATTAATTGGATCCGGTTCACCACCAAAATCTCATCAATTCTAAGTTACCCCATTTCTGACGTATCCTGAAAATTTTATGACAATCTGTCCATAACTTTTTCAGTTAGGCTGTACACAAACCCACAAACAGTCAAACACACGCCGGTGAAAACATAACCTCCTGCCAACCCCTTGGCGGAGGTAACAATATCATAAATTTAGTTTACTGTATGATATGTAGTTCATATAATGCTATTGATGGTTGGAAGTCTTAAATAAATATTCTTGATCATCTGATCAAAATTTAATACCGTCTTCATGATCGCTTACAAATTTTCGTGGTTCGTGTTTTTCTATTGGCTGATCGCGAGGACAAATATATAAGGGAAATCAGGGCTGCAAGTCCAATTTTACATGCAGATTAACAGGCTGAGGCTGAGTTCTGACATAAAACTTCTGACATGTAGCAGAAAGCCACACATACATACATACACACACACACACACACACACACACACACACACACACACACACACACACACACACACACATACAGACGCACGCGCGGGCGCGTACACACACACACAC